GCTGGCTGGGGTTTTTTTTCCCAGATATGAGCAAGGTAATTTTACCTAGGGGGAAAAAGAAATGCATAGGCACTCACACAGTGTACAAACATGTATGCACATCCTGCACACACACAAGCACTGTAAGAACACCGAATAAATTACTTCTTTGCTTTCACTTCAGAGCACATACCTTATTGGCTCAACTTTGGCACCACCAAACAAAAAATATGAAATTCAATCTTCAGATCATGTTTAGAATGAGTCCAGTCACTTTGCATGATGGGGGGAGCTTTCTACAGCTCACCTACGGCTTGCTTAATTTCTTAATGATCTTGAAGATAATTATGTAGGGTTACATATGCAGTCCTTGCTCAGACCCAGCTCTATCGCTAGGATTCAGACTCTGCAAGATGTGGACCGACCTTTTATAAAATGCTGAAAGGAATAAAGCCCCAAAAGGACTTTCAAGCCCCCAGCAGTATTATTATAAAATTTTTATTTATTAGGAGAAGAAAAAGTCCTCAGCAAGATCTCCATAAGCCAACATGGAGCCTTCTCAACAAGGCAGTGGGAAATACAAAGGACGAGGCTCTGCATCCCACCCTACCTGGGCACATCCTACACTGAGATACAACCAGGATCGTCCCTCCACCAGGAGATGAGCATCACTGGGTAGGCAGTCAGGGTGGAGAAGGGGCACCTCAGAGGTCCATCCCTACTGCCCAGGCTGTCTCTGAGTTTCACGTGTGGATTTGGTTAGGTTGGATGAACATTTCCCTGCTGAGAGCACTACCCCCAAAAGCAGCAGTCCCGTTCAAGCAGAGCAAGGGCAAGCCAAGCGTCTGTTGTCCTCTCCCTGTGAGGGCTCTGGGGTCCCAGCTGCTTCAGCATGACAGGGGGTTGCTGGATCCCAGCACACGTTGCATGCAGTGTCACTGCTCACCACATCAAGACCACCCCACAGGTGGGTGTCCCCAAGGTGGGGGTCAGCACCTCCTCTTTTGGAAAGTACACCAAGCTGTGCCATGAAGTGTTGAGCTGGGTGCCCAAGAGAGGTGTCCAGAGGGCTGATTTTGGGTGAGTAGGAAGAGCTCCTCTTTGAAGCAAGACCAGGTTTCACACACTTGTACTGTGACACAGGTCCTACAATATTTCAGCTTCCTGTTCTTTGATATTGCCCTGTTCTGGCTTTGCTGCTTTTGGGGCCAGATCATCAAAAAGGGCTCTTACACTGACATATCAGGCTAAAGTGCTGGTGCATCACTCTGTGTTGCTATACCTGATGTTTTACTCCCATTTTCTATTTCTGGACCTTGGAAGCATCCAACTGTGTTTCCTGAGCTCTTCAAGTGTCCATTACTCAGAACTGTCTTCCACATACCCTAACATCCATGTTTCTATATAGTAACCACTACAAAGCCCAGTTCAAAACCCCCCACTCTCAAAATGTTGTTGCATACTTGTGTGCATGAAAGCAAGAGCTAATTTCTTCCATACTTTACTCATTCCCTAAATAAGACCCCGCAACTCTTCCTTACGTGCAGCCTCCCAGTGCCTATCAAGAGTCTGATGCTCCAGCATGTACAAAGTTGCCAGCCAAGGACCTGTTCTGGGGACTCCCTGCCTAGTTCTGTTCATCCCAGTGGATCAAATGAGGAAACTATGGATGCACTCAGCACACGTCTCTTCCAAGGGGCACGCTTATTTGCATGGTAATGAGGATGGTAATGAGTCTGTTGTCTTCAGATGTACACAAGGTTCTAGCGGGTGAAAAACAGCCAAAGTTGAAAATCAGGGAATTCATACCCTTTTTACCTTTTTTTTTTTTTCTTTTCAATTTGCATTTTTTATCTGGATGCAAAAGACAAAGCATGTAGTACAGAAACTGTATTGTGCAATCAACCACAAAACACTAGATATAAGTTATTATTTTAACAGCCTGATGGCTGTTAAAGCAAGCACCAATCTCTTAAGTAGCCTGGCTCAAGTAGTAATTACTAGTCTCGTTTCTAAAGAGACCCTTCTTTTATTTGGTTTGTTACCATAGCTTTTTGTTTTCTTTTCCTCTCTCTTAAAGTTAAAAAATGCTACATAAAGCTGCAGCTCCTCTGAGAACCCAGTGCGCACTGCAAACAGGGTTCAGAACAACACTGTGAAAGAGATTATGGTAATTAGCCCCGTTCTGCAGTGGGGAAACTGAGGCACATAACTTTTCCCCAACAAAAGTATGAGCAGGATTACATACTTAATGAAGTCTTTCACCTGTCTTGGCCCCAAACGTTCACACTGAGCCATGTCAGGATCAAGGTAGGACAACACAGTTTCTTAGGGCTGAGAGCCAGGGATGCCCTTGCAGAGAGAACAGGGTTCTGGGTAGAGGCTGATCCCTGGACAGGCTGGCGAGAGGGTGAGTCCCAGCAGGAAAACAGACCATCTGCTACTGTCAAGACTTGAGATTGAGGACAGGAATATCAGCTGGGCTTGGAAACCCACAGCTGGTCCACATTGCCCAAAGCATCAGATGGTGCCTGTAGGTCCAGGGTGGTGGGTTGGGGGCAGTGCAAGAAAGGGAGAAGGCTCAAAGCTGTGGTCGGATGGAGAATGGAGGAGATGCTGCATGCAGTGCAAAGCGGGGTTGTCCCCAGCACCACTGGGGTGTTTAAAATTTCTTGGCTAAGCACTCAGGGGTGGCTTTTCTGCTGTGGTTAGAACTGGATGTGAAGCAGCCTAGCACCAACCTCTAAAGCTCACCACTGTCCCAGAAAGAGTAAACCTCTTTAATCAAAAACAACCAAGGTGGGGGCACTGCCTCTGAAAACCCCTAACCCTGGTGCTATTGCCTTGTTCAAAACCACAGGCTATGACACCGGTGGCTGCTCATTAAACTGCAAATGCCATTCATTTCCATGAAGGCCCCAGGTCTTTCCAGCACAGAGAAAGTGTGCTGCTTACTGTCCTTATTCAATGCCTTCTTCAGCACATATTGACAAACAGCAGGTGCTCCAGCCCTACAACTGGATTGGCCTTCAGCAGATATTTCAGCTGCATGGCTGCATCTCTGCTTTCCCTGCCTAACCATCAGAAAATGCTGAGATCTGTCTTTCTTCTCCCACGTCCCCATGATGGAACAGCCCACGTACCTAATGCTGAGTCTGGCTGTAATTTCTTCACTTTTTAGGGATGGCTGTAAGAAGGCTTTGCTGCAACCAGAGCTTTGAGTTTCTTGGATGATGGTTTTTCTCCAGCTAACAGCTTGGGGAGCTTTTATGTAGTGCCAGTCCTGAATTTCTGGCTGCTGGCACCTGTTTTACTGTTTTGACACCAGGCTTTTGAGCATAGGGAAAATAATAATGATATCCAGAGCTAATGTTATTTACTAAAATACAAATTAACGCTCAGTCACATGGCGGCACAATTTGTCATCCAGAGCTAAAATTAAAAGAAATTAAGGCTGAGTCAGAAAGTTATTTCAGATCTGACTGGGGAATGCTAAGTGATGGGACCATGTGGGAGCAACACTGACATCTTCTGGCTGCAAAAAAAAATCTCCAGCTTTCTCACCAAGAAAACAGCGGGAACTTCCAGCCCAAAAGCGTAAATAGGGGTTGGGGTGGACAAAAGAAATTTTTCAAGTAGCCAGTACAAGCTTGAGGTGATGGGTATTATCTGAGCTCATGTTAAGTGTCCACCTTAGCATCACTGCAGAATTTGAACTGAGGGTGTTTGGCACTGATGATCCAAAATATGTGAGTGTAGTGTGTAAAGGGCTATTGTTCTTCCAGCAGTGCAGGTGACAGGGCTGTATCCATCCATTTAGATTGGATATTAGGAAAAATTTCTTCACAGAAAGGGTAGTCAAGCATTGGCACAGGCTGCCCAGAGAGCTGGTGGAGTCACCATCCCTGGAATTGTTCAAAAAATGGGCAGATGTGGCACTTGGGGACATTGTTTAGTGGGCATGGGGGTGTTGGGTTGATGGTTGGACTGATGATCTTAGAGATCCTTTCCAACCTTAATGATTCCTAGTTTTACTTTCAATAAAAATAATCCAGCCACCAAGCCAGGAGGCGTGGGGTTGCTACTCTGCCCTTAATTGGTTTAGTGGTGGAGTTGGCAGTGTTAGGTTAATGGTTGGACTGGATGATCTTAAAGGTCTTTTCCAACCTAAACAATTCTATGATTCTTTTACGTTGCAGTGGTGAGCTGTGCAGTGCAATGTGTAGGAAGAGGCAGGCACCAAGAACCAATCCATGCAAACCATTTTCTCTTGTCTGATCTGGAATGGGACAGGGCCTGGCTGCCTTGTGCTAATAAACCAGGAAGGCATGGGGGCCACTGAACCAGTTCACCAAAATGATACCCTCACCCCTGTTATAGGGTCTCAGAAAGCATCCCGGCCCCCAGGTATGGAGGACACCTCTTGGGTGCAAGTCTCCCGTGTCAATTCAGAGCAGCATGCCTGAACCCACAGTCAGGTACACAGCTTTGGCCATGGGGCTGTTGGGTTCCTGCACCAGGACTTTCTCCTCAGGACTGGATCCCCTTCAAAACACAGTGCATGCTGGATTCAGAGGGCAGGGTTAGCTGGATGGTTATCTGGAGAGAGGTGTGAGAAGAATCCTCCATCCTCACCACCCTTCATACTTGTGTAGCTCCTGCAACAATTAACCGCCTCCCTCCAAGCTGTATGGGCTTGCCACGATGGCTCACAGCTGCATTTGAGGGTGCTGGGTCCATTGCTAGGAGCCCTTTCGCAGTGGGGCTAGGAGGCTCCCACCAAAGACATAGTATTAGCCATCATTATCACTTTAGGGTCGATGCCTTACAGTCCTGCAGTGGCCAGATCTTCACTGTGGTGGCAATGGCATTGCTAGCCAAGGACCTAATAGCAGAATCACACCTTCAGCCTTTTCTGCAGGTCTCACCTCTTCCAGACTGCACTGCCCACCACCCTTGCTACCCTGCGCTGCCATACCCTTCCCCTTCCTTTAACCATATTTCTTTTAATCTCTTCCAAGGTTCTTTTTTCCCATCTCTGAAGCCCTCCGAAATGGTCTTCAAGGTCATTTTCTGGCTGGGGTACTTCAACAGCTGTGTGAACCCCATCATCTACCCGTGCTCCAGCAAAGAGTTCAAGCGAGCTTTCATCAGGCTGCTCAAGTGCCAATGCCACCGGAGAAGACGGCCCATCTGGCGCGTCTACGACCACCACTGGCGAGGGGCCTCCATGAACAGCTCGGTGCAAGACTCTGAGACGGACCTGAGGCCCAGGATTAACACCCTGAACAGCTCGTTCATATTTAACTCCTCGTTTCAGGAGAGAGCCAGTAAGAGGCGAACACTCAGCTTCAAGGGCTGGAAAATGCTCACTCCTTTCCAGAAACCAGCATCCACCCAGCTGAAGGAGAAGATGAATAGCCTTTCTAATAAAATCCGGGGTGGTTCCAGCAAAGGGGGGGTGACAGCCATGTACAAAACAGAAGTGGAATCTGTCTCTATCGGGATCCCTCATGACTTCACGGAAACCATCGATTATCAAACCTATGACTTAACAGACTGCTGCGGGCTGCGAGAAACAGATATTTGAAGCCACCAGGACGCTGTCGATGGTTTCTGTCGAGGTATCTAGCAGAAGCGTGAAGGGATACCATCTGTGTGTCTGTCAGGCAGACTGGAAGCAGCAATCAGGTATAAAATGCAGTTGCCCAAAGGTTATACAAGCATCCCCCACATGGAGGTCAGCCCCTTCTCTGGCATTCTGGGATTACGGGTTCCTCAAATAAGATCCAGTGGCATATCCCATTTTATTGAGCCACGGCAGGAGAGGAAGATGTGGGGTAGAAATGGCCTTAGGACAAGAGCTGTTTCCTCCATTGGATGGTTATCTTTGAGTTTAGAAGAAGCTGTGTAATTAAGGGAAACCAGAATGTCTCCTTTGCCTTAAAAACACCACCACAAAATCTAATGGAAAGATCAAACCCCAGAAGATGCCAACCCTGCCTTAGTACATGTGATCATGTTTCCATCCAGAGGCAGCACCCAGAAAGGATGCTGCCAAGCAGTAGCTGGCAGCTGATCCTTTAGAGAATGGGTTGGGAGCTTGCAGGTCTACAGGGCTGGGCAGAACCTCTAGCCTTTGCTTTGGAGGGTGAGCAGGCTGCGGTATTCCCAAGCAGGGTGGGGGGATCCTGGCTCTCAGCCATCATGTCTGCAGTGGCTACAGCTTTGACCTTTCCACATAACCTGGTTTTAGGCCAGAGGAGCACTCCAGATGTGTACACTGATGCCAGTGGTTGTGCGGGTCTCTCTTCTCAAAGTCCAACCTGTGATGCGTTTCTCATTTCACTTTCCAGTGAAACACTTTCAACCCAGATTGCTTTAGTGCACATACCTCTGTGATACAGAGAGAAAGCAACTCCTTTTGGCGTCAGCCATCCCCGGCCTTTTTCTCTCCCCTTCATGCTCTTACTTGCTGTCTCTCTCAAACAACACGGAACAAAGATGTATCCTAGGGGCTTCGCTCACGTCCATACTCAACCTGGCTCAGGAAAGGTGGGATGGCTGAATTTGGAGCCTGTTTCTACTACCCATAGAGTCAAAGCTAAAACGGAGCTGACATGCAGTTGGAGCTCCCTCGTGTAGATGCATCCTCTCCCCAGTCAGGGTCACGCTCATGACTCTTCTCCCAGGTGGCTTCCCACATGCCTGATACATCAAAGCCTTTGGTGGCTATCAACAATTGCCCTTGGTTATGTCTGCTAGCATGGTAAAGCAATGTCGATAAGGGGGGTTTTTTTGCTCTTCTCACAGCCCCAGAGTGTGAGCTCCCCTCAGGAGTGCACCATGGCCTCCTCCGGGGACTGCAGGGAGGTTGGAAGCATGACAGGCCCACCTCAGCCAGGCTCACACACCCTGTGCTTTGCAACTCAGAAAAATGGTCACCCAAGCTCTGCTTGGCCATGTATTTCAGGCACTGGTTTTATCTAATTTCAGACAGGCAATGAGCCACAGACATCATTAGATTAAGCTGTGGGCAGAGGCACCAGACACATAGACTATGGAGGCAAAGTCTGGATCTGAGGTGCAGTGTCTCAAGCCAGGTGAGTAAAGAACAGGAACATGAAGTTGAGAGGTGGAGATGTGACACTGAACGTGTCCTGGATGGAAACTCATCCACACCAGCACTGTCCCCCAAACCCATTAGGAGTCCTTCATGAATATGCCTACAACACACCTAGTTAATCCTCTTAAGGGTGGCTTTCAAAGGAGATGAAAGGCTCCTAGGCACAGCAAAGAGAATGTCACCTTTCTTTCCGCTCTTCATTTGCTTTAAAGGAAATTGAAACAGAGGAAAAGTTGGACTTCTTTTATTTTTTACTTTTTTGTACAGTGCCTCCTTAGACATGATACCCAGAGTTGGCCCCTCTCAACATCCTTCTGCCCTTTACTCAATGCAAGACTCCAAACTGGATGAATTACTGCACAAAGACCTGCAGATTTTGTCCAAATATTTTCCTCCCAACAGCAAATCCCCCCAAGGCACACGGGCAGCATTGCACTTACACTGAATCCAGACTCATTTCTGCCTGCATGTCTGCCAGTGCCTGTAAAATCAGCCAGAGGTTGCCAGCTTGAGAGCTTCAACCCTACCAAAGCAAGGGCCCAATAGCCCATGGGAACCTCTGCGGGGAAATGCATCTTTTTTTCCCCCGTTTCTTTGGCCTTCAAGGGAAGTGAGACCCTACAGTGAAGATGGGGTGACACAGAAAGTCATTTTGCAGTGCAAGGACTGCAGCTGCCACTGGGTTCCTGGGTGTTTTAGGGATCCTGACAGGAGAGCACACTGCTGGCACTGGGGACGTAGCAGAGAAGGCATCAGGGAGAGGGCAGTCGCTGAAGAGCAGAGATGCCTGGAAGGTCCTCCTGGAAGGTTACTCCTCCTGCCTTCCGCCCACCTCTTGGGATGCATGTGCACACGTGCCACTGTTGGAGGGAGTAAACACACCCAGACCTGCATTTTTGGCCCCTGGTGATGCTGCTTTGCAGGTCTAACAGGCGCAAGCGCATAATGTAAGCAATTTGGGGGCACGGTTTAGGGCGAGCTGATACACATATCAGAAGTGAAAGTCTAGTCAGGGGGAAGATGGACATTTGCCATTAAATGCTCTCTGATGCTAAGGAGCAGATCTTTTTTGGTGTGTCTGCAGAGCCAGACATTCACAGCACATGGTAACGTGTGCATCCATGACCACAGAGATACACATACACACTGTACTACATTTATATATATAAATGTCAATTCCAAAATGGCAGACATTCTCCTATAAATGGAGGCTTTGCAGGGGCTTTTACCAATTGCTGGCAAGCAGTTCATTCCCAAGAATGAGTTGAAATTATTGCTTACACTTCTCCCTGATCTTTTAAATATACTTTTTTTTTTTTTCAATTTTGAAATATTTACATTTATAGCCTCCAGCCTCTTGAAAGCATCCAGAAGGGAAATAAAGATTAGTCTGAGGGTTTACTCCATGCCAATTCTTTACAAACCTATGAGGGAGAAAATGAGGATAAAGTCTGTTTAAGCACACATATGCATACACACATAAATGCCCAAACTTTGGCTCATTTTACTTTCCTCCATTGCAGCTGCACCTGTGTTTGATCAGGCCATGAGAGATACCCTAGAAGGTGCTGTAGGAAAGTCTTGAGCTCTGCTGTGTTGCATTCAAGGCAAAATATTTGTCTCTCACCTGAGCCAGGCATCAGAAGAGGCAATGCCAGGACTGGACTCTGAGGCTCTACATGTAGAACTTCATTTAGAGTAGACAGGGCTGCCTTTGCTGGCAGGGGAGGAAGGACAATGCTGTATGAAAAATGACCTGAGTGTCTAAAATTGTGCATTTCTCTTTGATTCCTTTAATCTCCAAGCTCTCCCAAGTTTGGAAAAATGGGCTCAGACCTTCAGGAGGTAAATTCGGTTTGATCCTACTGACTTCTCTGGTCCCACAAGAGTGCGACCAGCTGAGGGTATGGTCCCGTTTCTCCAAATTTGCCAAGCAGGCCATTTCCCAAAGTACCCGTACCTTGGTTATCCAGCAGCTCTCACCTCATTGCGCTGGCTTCATGTCACTATTGCATCGTCAGACCTTGCTGCTTCAACAAACCGAGCGTGCAGGATGGTAAACAGCAGCTTTTACGTCAGTAGACTCTCACGAGTCCTATTTAAGGGGGAAGGAAGGTCCCTGTCAGCCTGAGCTGGACTGCAGTTGGGTTGCATTACTATTGTTTACAGTGTGTATATAAGTGTACATTTTCTTTAGCAGACATTGGAATTTTTTATGTATAGATTTTTATTTTTCATCCCCAGATGTATTTATTAGCCAGAGTATTTCTGTTTCGTGATTCAAGTTCTGTCAGATTGATGTAAGCTCTATGAAACAGAATGCACATATTTTTGTTTGTTTGTACCAAATACATGCACAAACCTGTCTAAAACATTGCTGTGAATTGTTGCTGTGTCTGATTTTTAAAACAGGGGTTGTAGGGGATGAGGGAGGGGGGAAGAAACACCTGCAAATTATCCACCGTTGGTTTTTTCTCAAAGACTTTTTCATAATTTCCCAAGGGTAATTGCTCCCACATGCAAGAATTTATGATTAAAACAACTTAGAATAGGAATCTCGTAGCTTTGTGCCATGCAGGGATGAAGGGGTCGCACCAGCCATGTCTTCTCCGAGGTGCTCCCTGGAGCAGGAGTCTGGATGCAGCCATGACCCATGGAAGTGGAGGAGGGCAGGAGGAGGGATGGCTTTTATGTAGTTGTTGGTCAGGAACAAGCTCTGGTGAAAGGATTTCCATCAGAGTAAGGGTTTTTAAAATGAAAACTGAAATTTCAGCTCACTGAAGATTTCTCTGGAAAATTTTAATTTTTCTTCTAAAGTTAAAATTCCAGCATCACTCACAAAACCACTACTCGTGGTGAAATGGCAACAGCATTTCTTATGCTCTCATCTCACTCCAGGTACTCCATTTCACAAAATGCAGCCTGATGGCACCTCTAGACACTGGGCAGTGGTGTCTCAGGGCTGGGTATCATGGGAAGGACTCTGAGCTGGAAAGCCCAAAGGGGAGAACGGCAAAAGAAGACAAAACACCTGCCTCACCTCTAGGACGCTAGAGCAATATCATATAGCAGAGTCTGAAATGCACTGAAACAGAGCTCTGAAAGCATCCAACAACAAGTATCCCAGAAATATTTCTTTGCAAAACAGATGACCAAACACGGCCCAAGGCTGGCTGTCCTTCAGGGATGGCTCCAGGCAGAGGCAAAGGGAGCAGCCACCAATTGCAGCTCACAGCTCCAGGGAAATATTGTCATGACTTCGCCGGGCATTTTGCTAATGCTCGTGTGTGCTTGAGTCAGACTGATGCTGGGGAAGGGGAATGGATGATGTGTTCCCTGGTGAGCCCGCAGCAAAGAATGCTCTTGACTGATGCTGCTCACATTTTTAAAGGGATTTCTTTCCCTTCTGTATGACTGTCAAGCCAGGCTGCTGCCCTGTTTGGATGCCAGGAAAAAAAGCATTA